CTCATCTGTACTAACATCACAGCATGTTGCTCCTGATAACATTACTGCATGTAAAATCTTTGTCACTGCATGTGGGTTTCCTGCCTGCTCACCTCCTCAGAAATGCCGCTTTCGTTCATTTTACAGTTTTCTAAAATTGAACTCTTTTCTCTCTAGAACTATCTCCGAGTCGCGCTGCAAGAGCTGGGGGTGGGCTGCACGGCCAAAACGCTGATCGTCCACCCGTACACCACCACAGAAGAGGTCTGCTCGCTGTGCGCCCAGAAGTTCAGGCTCTCCGACCCTGAGAACTACGCTCTGTTTCTGGTCAATGAGGAAACCAGCCAGCAGCTCACCCCAGACACTCACCCTCAGCGAATCAAAGCTGAGCTCCACAGCCGGCCGCGCGCTCAGGTCTTCCACTTCGTCTACAGGAGGGTGCACAACTTGAACCTCTGCGTCCCCGGCGTCGTGCAAAATGGAAACTGTCCTCAGGTTGAATAGCAGAGGGAGACAAGCTCCGCCTCTGCTTGTTGATGTTTTGTGGAGAGGTTTGAAGTCAGGAGAAAGGAGAGGGTTGAAGTTGCACGTTGGCAAGTTGATGCAGATATGAAATAAGGATGTCTTTGATTAGCAAATGATTTTTTTTTTTAATTAGGTTGGAAAAAGACAAAGAAGGGGAAATTCAGCAGCCTGTATCTGCTTTGGTTATAAAGGAGTTTAGCATGTGTTACGTGGGTGGAAATGAAATGTTTGGCCATGATGGACACGTATACCATCCTCAAATAAATGACTAACTTTTGCCTTAACTACTGCTCCCTCGGTGCCTTTAAAAAGGAATTGATTATACTGTTTGCCACTGACAGCATTCAACCCAGATTAAAACTCCACTCTAAACATTAATTTAAAAAGAGAAATGAGCTTCTGTAAAGTGTTGTTCTGTTTTATTGTTCTGCAGTTGCTGGACAACTGCAGTTGGTATTTGTGTGTAGAAATATTTTTATATCCAAATATTTTTTATCCCTTAAGTGACAAAGATTTGTATTCTGAATTACTGTTTCTGTACTGGACTCAATACTGGACTTTATTTATGCCAGATATTTCTCCAAAGTCGACTTAAATCAGCACTGTTTCTATTGTATGTTATTAAAAAAAAAAAGCTGAATATGTAAATTTATAAAATACACTTTAAACGAGGCCACTTGCTGACTCCTGTATTTATGTATGTTTTTCTGAAAAGTCACAATTCAGTAGCACGGCAACAGGAAGAGAACAATGGATGATTTTGCTGCATTTATGAGACAAAATCACACACCTGCAAAATGCACCATTAGTCACCTCCTGAGGGTTTAAACATGAGTATCAGCCTGTTGAGCGGTGAGCAGCTTTATTTTCTACACTCAACGTGTCTGAGATGAGTTACACAGCCTCACATATTGGACAGCTGAAGTAAAACATGGTGCATTATGCCAAACCATTTCAAAAACCATTAATCTGGTAAATTTCTCAAACTCAGAAAACACGAGTCTGTATTTAAAAATTTTATATATATATATACATATATACATACATATATACATACATATATACATACATATATACATACATATATACATACATATATACATACACATATATACATACATATATATATATACACATATATATATATACATATATATATATATACAAATATATATATATAAATATATATATAAATATAATATATATATACACATATATATATATATAACATATATATATATATCACATATATATATATATATATACATATACATATATATATATATACATATATATATATATACATATATATATATACATACATATATATATATATATATATATACATATATATATATATAATATATATATAATACATATATATACATATATATATATATATATATATATATATATATATTATATATATATGTGTATATATATATATATATATATTATTTTTTTTTTTTTTTTTTAACAACTTATACAGTGATACATTGGTGGACTCTGACCACACAGTGAAACTTATGCAAAACAACCACCTTTTGAATGAGTCTACATCATTCACAAATTCAGCCAAATCTGTTAATTTATGCAGCGCATTTAAACACAGCAGCCAATCAAAGGACTGCACAGCAAGTAATCCACCAAGTTTAATTTCCACACCAAGTTTACTCTCAAATAAAATAGAATAAACAGGTTCCTAAAACAAAAACAAGGTGAAGGTTTGCAGCACTCAGCCATGCCTCTGTGTGCTGGGACAGTCAGTGTGGTTACACCCCTAAATTTAAGCATCATCATGGCATTAGTTAAAAATAAACTTCCAACTTTCCCCATGTGGGACAATGAAAGGATTATTCTATTCTAAATCCACCCCACTACAGTTGTTATGACGCAAGAAAATAAAGAGTTCAAAAGTATTTCTTTTATTTGGAAAAATATCAGGATTCTGTCACCTTTCAAGCCTGAAGTGGACTGTTATGAATCTTCCTTTCATTCGATTTTCTGTTGGGTTGTTTTGTTAGCAGCGTCAGGCTCCACGCTGACCCTCTGACCTCTGTGTTTGCCATTTGAACCACGCCTGAACAACAAAGTTAATGTACTCACAATAGTGTATGCCAAAGTGTGGTACATAATGTACTGTAACAAAGTGAAAAGCTTCCTGGAACTGATAGTGAGACATTAGGCTTCAAGCTAATGGAGTTGTTCTCCGGTCTTTGTCCCCAGTTCATTGTGACTCCTGCCTGTCTCTTTGGAACATGGGTTCAACTAAAGATCTTCAAAGCCACAAGTGTGGCCTTTGCAATAAATACAGGAACGCAAAGGTGGATTTTGAGGGTGAGGCAAAAAAAAAAAAAAAAACGGTACTAGAAACAAAGACAGATTGTGGGTTTTGTCTATTTGATCAGGAGAAGGAATCAAATAAAGGTTAGGTGAGTTGACTGCTATGTGTAGTTCAAAGCTATTTAGCAAAGATTAAAGACGGTATGTGTTTAGACCAATACTGACTCCAAACAAGCAGTTTAGGTACAAGTGAAGGTGTCAGGTTTATGTTGAGGCCAGAAGATTAAAGTGTATGGTTTTGTGCCATACCAGAAAACAAAGTCTTACAAGGCTGTATTTACGGAGCCCCCCAGGGGACATGGGAGAAAAAAAAATTAGGGAGCGAAAAAAAAAAAAATTAGGGAGGAAAAAAAAAAAAATTAAGACGGACTTTTGCGAGATCTCGCAAAAGTATTGCGAGCGCTCGCAAAAGTATTGCGAGATCTCGCAAGTATGCAGCTGAAAATTTGCGAGCCGCAAATTTCGGATCTCCAAAAGTATTGCGAGCCGCAAGTATGCGAATCCGCAAAACTCCAACAATGGCGGCAGCTACTTAGTTGTAATATTACTCTTTCTGGGTCACAAAATACACTTTTAAGATATTTTGAGGCGTGAATGTAGTTGTGTAAACGTCAGATACCTGCTCGGTTTACAAGACATCACATATTTGCAAAAGAGCTCCGACGTTTTTGGAGATCTGACACCCACTAGCTCGAAGCTAACGGGAGGTCGAGACCTACTACAGCCGGGAGGAACACCGCTTTCCCGGCACATCGTGCCTCGACCTCCCGGTCGGCTTCGAGCTGGCGGCCCTCTCGAAGCAACGGAATGTCGAGACCTAAACGAGGAACCCCTTTCGGACATCGTCTCGACCTGGGCCATCTGGCGGCAAAACTTGCGGCTCAATAACTTATTGCGAGATCTCGCAATACTTTTGCGAGCGCTCGCAATACTTATTGCGAGATCTCGCAATACTTTTGCGAGCGCTCGCAATACTTTTGCGAGATCTCGCAAAAGTCGCTATTTTTTTCCTCCTATTTTTTTTTTTTCCTCCCTAATTTTTTTTTTCCTCTATTTCCCCATGTCCCCTGGGGGGCTCCGTAGTAATTAATATAATGAAGAAGAATCTATGTGAAGTCCCTGTATGTAGCATGCTTATTGCTTTTAAAGGACACTGTAAGAAGCCCGCCTCATGCACTACCTACCTTTCAGGGAGAGCACACACACATCAGGAAATCCCAACTTAGCTCTATGTTTGTGTCAGCAGAGACTGCCCCTCTGTGGCACTTACAGGGCAATACAGGTGCCTCCAGGTAGATGTTGGTAGATGTCAGAGCCAGTGTGGGAGACCATGTGGATGTGATTGTACAAAGAATAAAAATAAATAAACAATGAAATAAAAAAGGCGGAAGTAGTTTCGGGAATACAGCAGCGATCATTTTAACGAATTAAAAAAATGCATTTATTTCCTTATTTATTTCCCTTCTTGTTTTTTCCCATAAAACACTAGTATTCCGGGTTAGGGTTGTTAGGGTTAACCCTAACCCTGGCTGTTAAGGCTTTACGTCGGGGCATACTTCCTCGATTGTTCCCGTTTACAAACGCCAGGTAGCTGTTAGAAAGGTTATTAAACAACAACAGTGGGGTGCAAGTTTGTAGAAGAGCTGGTTGTGGTGGTTGAAGGCGAGTCCATCAGCAGACCGCTTGATTTAAAGTCCCCGTTGCTGCTGGCTTCATGCCAGGAGTCAAAATGGCGGATGCTGGGAAAGTTGCTCAGCTTGCACAGAACACTCACAGAAGGGTATTTTGAGGTAGTTAAAATCGATAAAGATGTAAAAGCGGAGTTATGTATAATGTTATGGCCACTTCTGTGTGAAATGAAGTGAAAACCAGAATAAAGATCTTTAACTCGGGAGATGTATGTTGTTTTGAGCAAAAGCGTTGGAGTAGCTAGCTAGCGCCCCCTAAAAGCCCAGGAGTCCCGAGAGCGGTCGTTCCCAGATTATATCAGCTTTGTGGTTCACGCCCATTCGTGCTCCTCAGCTGTGGCGGGTCCTAAGAAAGTGAAAGTATTTTTTTTCTTGTCGTTTTCTTCTGCGCACAATGCTGCCGTGAACGCCGCAATCTCCTCTTCGTGGAAAAGAAAGGTGCTGTAGCTTCTTCGGTGAGTTTGGCTCGCTTGTTAATACGTAAATTAATACATAAACAAACGAGTCAGTATAATGCAAGATGAAGCTGAGTCAACAGTCCCGTCTTGCAGTTCAGCTGGATGAGGGTTTTGCCAAACACCGGTGTTTTTACTTTCGATTTCTCATTCTGGGTTAAAGCAGCTGATGGTGTTTTTTTCCCCTAGGGGTCGATTTTAGTTAAAGTTCATTTCTATGTGTTCAAACGATGGTCAGGTTTCCTTATTGTTTTTTTGTTTTGTTTTGTTTTTTTAACTTTTCAGCTATTCGCACTACATTGAGGGCACTTCCGAAACAAGAACTTATATCACTGAGCATGCGCAATGCTACACGGGTATTTACAGTGACTGTTGATATGCAGATCAATAATACAGTAAATAATTATCAGGCAACAGGTAAAATAAGCGTTTGATTTGCTGCTGAGTGAGAGTAACTTCTAAAAAATGAATTTATTTTTAGCAAGCAGAACAAAATGCAACAAAAAAAAAACACGAGAAAGTGCGAGCCATACAACATATCTTCATCTGAAACACCGATTCCAACGATGTATTGGCCCCGTTACTGTTTTTACTTTGAAATGTTTATATGATTTCACTTCAGCTTGTTTTTCCGTGTTTTTCACATGAGTGGTGATATGCAGTTAAGCCTGCAGTTATCACACTAAGCTCCAAATAGTGCTCTGTGAAACAGCATCTCTGATGCTTAAATTATGATATTTTTCTTTCTTCTTCTTTTACTGCTCCCTTTAGAGGTCGCCACAGGGGGTTATCTGCCCCCATCACCTCGTGCCTAGCTTCTTTCTTTGTCTCACCAACCTCCTGTATGTCCTTCCTCACAAGAATCCTCTCTGAGCTGTCCCTCTGGTGTATTAAGTGTAAATCTTAGCATCTTATTAAACCCTTTGTTTCCACATAAAGGGGACAAATGTTTTAGGTAAACATTTTGCATTCTACCTATCAATATTTTACAAGCTCTAAAGTTGATAGGAGTTGAAACTGGTCACTTACCTGCCTTTTTCAGTCCCCGTGACTTCATAAGTACAGGGAAATGCACATATCAAGGCCTGAAAAATACATTTAATCTTTGTCAACAACAAAAACTCTAAATGTAACAGTTTTTGCTCTCTACAATTATTTATAAAAACCAACACTAAGTCTAAGGGGATATATTAAACTGTTGTAGAGAACATCTGAACACCTAATTGGTTCTTGATTTTAAAGCTACATAATGTAAAAATATAGTCATAGTAGAAAAATTTCATTGGCACTGAAGAAGGCTAGAGGCTAGAAGATAAGTCTGGTATGAAAATCCAGGTAGAGGGGAGACGTTTAGTATGATCTACCTTGTTTGGAGCCACCTGTCCCACATGGTGATATGACTCCTGAAAGTTTACCCAAAATGTTCTGTTTAAAAATGTATCAGGTGAATTATCAGAGCACACATCAAACATTCAGGGTACCAAAGGTTTTGACTACGTGAACTGTCTTTAGTGCTTGAGGTGAATGTCAATCAGCTGATTGCCATCCAAAGAGATTCCTCAATACTAAAAGCTGAATGGCAGTCCAAGAGTTTTAGTCTCATGTGGTGTTAAATTAAAAAGTAAAGTTTAGCTTCCTTCATCTCAACCTGGAGAGATGAATCTGACTGTCCAAATGAAGTAAACTTTGTCATTAGACAGCGTGCACAAGGTTCTTCGCAGACATCCACATGCCTGCAAATGTTGTGTGACTGTGCAGCCTTGTGTGTAGAAGATTACAACAGAGCACCTGTGCAGCGACTTCAGAGTGAAACAGGAATGACTGCTCTGCGCCATGTCTCCAGCTGTCTGTGTCCTCAACATTGGATCATTCAATTTCTAAAGACCAGGGTCACAATGATTGTTCCTCTTGGTTAGTCTTTGTTACAAACATTAAACTGGGCCTGTTTTGTTATTGAAAGCATGACGTATCCCACTTATTGATGCTCAGGCTGGTAATAAAAAAGCATTCTGATCAAAAATGTGATTGTGGCACTGGCATTGAGTGTAAAACTGATTTGGTTGGGTTTTTATGGCCTAAATGTGTTTTTAACCTTCTGTGTTTTTAACCTTCAGGTGGGAGACACTGACTGAGTTTTTGTGGACTGACTTTGAAGTAAAATGTTTCTCACTGACTTTTCGTCTTTTCAGGAGCATCTGCCATTGTTATGGCTCTCCAAACCTGTCTCAAAGCTGCGCTGAGGAGCAAATATGAGAGCCTGGATGAAGCCTTTTCCAAAAGCTCAATACTTCCTTCGAGGCTCTGCTATCAGGATATCAGGTACAACTATACAGAGCCTGAATTCTTCCAGCATGAGTACAGACGCCTGGATAGGAGCTTCTTTTTTCCAGACGCTCCACTTGCAGACATTTTATCGTGCAAATGTCAACATAAGAACAGAAATAGAACAGTCATCACTATAGGAGTGAGCGGAGTCGGAAAAACCACAATGGTGCAGAGCTGTGCTCTTGATTGGGCCAAGGACAAGGGGTACCACAGCATCAGCTTCCTGTTTCCTCTCACCTTCTGGGAATTGAATCTGCTGAAAGATAGACTGAGCCTGATTGAGCTTCTCCAGACATTTTACCCTGAACTGAAGGAGCTTGATGCATCTGTCCTAAATGAAGACGGGGTGTGGTTCATTCTCGATGGACTAGACGAGTTTCAAATCCAGCTCAACTTTGACTGTCCAGCTGTGAGTGATGTTTCTGAAGCATCAACTGTAGACAGTCTTGTCACTAACCTAATCAGGGGAAATTTACTCCCAAGAGCTCATATATGGGTAACGTCTCGAATTTCAGACGAATATCAAATACCTCCCTTTTATTTGCTGAAAAAAACGGAGCTGCGGGGATTCAGCGATGAAGAGAAGGAGCAGCACTTCCGAATGGTCATCGGTGATGATGATCTTGTCAACAAAGCCATCAATCACGTGAAAATATTGAGGAGCCTGGACTCCCTGTGTCAGATACCTCCGATCTGCACCATTATGGCAAGTGCTTTAAAGGATCACGTAAAAGGGCAAAAGGGTTTTAAATTGCATCCCTTGAGTCTAACTGAGATTTACAATCTGGGTTTCGGTGCGCTGGAAGCTAAACACTTGCCTATCTTTACCAAGCTGAAGAAGGTGGCGCTGCTTCGGGTGGGAGTGCAGAACGTCATGTATGAGGATGACCTTTCAGGAAACGGGATAAGTGTCGAGGAAGCTTTAGCTTTCGCAGAAACATTCCCGCTTGTTTTGAGAACGGAGACGGGACTGAACGGTACCACTGTGTTTCGCTTTGGCCACTTGAGTGTTCAAGAGTTCCTGGCTGCGTCTTACAAACTGGAGGACATCAAAGCTCAAAAAATGAATTTAAGCTCCTGTATTCAGCATCAAGTGGATGAAGTGCTGGAGAATAATGAGGGAGTCTCTGATCTCCTACTTCGTTTCATGTTTGGCCTCATTAAGGAGCGCATGCTGTTGCCACCCAAAGATTTGCTCTTTGGCTATGTCAAGAAGAAGATCCTGAGCAAGATATCGTCCTACAGCACCGTCATCCTGTTTCACTGCCTGCGGGAGTACGACAGTCAGGCGTTGCAGGAGGAGGTTAGGTTCTTTCAGAGGTATGGCGTTTCTCAGATCCCAGGGTTCTCACTGATGCACTGGAGAGACTTGATGCAGAGGATCAGAGCTTTTGAAGGGATTCGAGAGACTTTTGAGATGGAGGTGTCAGTGAGATGTGATGACAAACTCATCAAGAATATTCCAGCTATTTTCAAATCCAGGAAAGCCATGTAAGTTTGTACTTATTGCATTCACTGAATTTTATCCATACGCCTATTTTCTTAACCACTTATCCAGGCCATCTTGGATCCAAGTTGTTATAGGGCGAGAGGCAGTGTTCACAATTACAGGGCAGTATGTACAGATGCTACACACATATTCGTACATTTAAATGAACTGAAATGTTTTATCTCACATCATATGACAAAACTGTGTTCCTTCAGGTAATGCAGGACTTTTGTTAAACCCCTTGAATTAAAGCTGTAAGTCAGTGTGTCAGGGGTTCGATTTAAAACCCACTGTGATTGTGCACAGAGCTGTAACTGCAAAATTATTTCATTGTCTTCATACTTAAACATTTGCCTGGACATGCAATATTTCCCTCTTTGCCAGATGTCATTAACTTCTACCTCTTTGCAGGCTGAAATTCTCCAACCTGACTGACAAGAGCTGCCCAGCGTTGGCAGCAGTCCTAAGCTCAAAGGAGTCATTCCTGAGGGAGCTGGATCTGGGGTACAACAGCTTCAGCACCAGTGGAGTCCAGGAACTTGCAGAGGGCCTGAACAGTGTGACTTGCAGGCTGAAAATACTTCGGCTGCAAGGCTGTGGACTGACCGCAGAGACCTGTCAGTATTTGAGCCAATGCCTGATGCAACACCAAATACTGCAAGAGCTGGATCTTAGCAGCAATGGAATAGGAGATCGGGGGCTGAAGCTGCTGTCGCATGGTTTGGGAAGTTCTAGTTGCCGGCTGCAGACATTAAAGTAAGTGTTCAGATGGTAAAGCGTTTTTTCTCTATCAAGACCCCCTAACGCTTTTCTGACTTAATTTTTTTGATTAATTTTAAACCCCAATGACATTCTCAAAAACAAGTTGTTTTTTTTTCTTTTGCATAAAGTAAACCCTCAAATACTTCATCATTCATAAAGCCGATAGTTACTCTGTCACCACAGACCAGTTATAAGTCAGGAAAAATTGCAAATACTCCACAGTGAAAAAGGAATTGTGGGGGGAAAGAAGCTATGGTATAATGGGTTATGTTCCACGTAAGAGATCACCACCTACTGAGCAATCAACTCAAAGATTAATAGGATCTAAAGTGTTTGTCTCTCCCTGATGAGCATTGGTACAGTTTGCATGGAGGCGAAGAAGACTTACCGTTTTATCTCTGGGTTTTTTCTATTTATTCTTTACCACGTCTCAGGCTGTTAAATGCCACCAGGACTGCAGCTGAAAGAACGACACTACCTGTCTTACTGTTTCTGCCTGGCAGCTGATTTACCTGTCCATTAACACCATTGATGCTACCAGATCTTTGTCTCTTTCATGTGAACATGACCTTACCTGCACTGATAACCCTGAGTTGCCTAAGTGAGCTGATAACCACATTCATGTATTTGCTTAGCCTGATTTATGATGTTAGGATAAGTGAAGCCAGATAATGGAAGCTATCCAGGATACGTTGAATTTGCTTCATAGTGCAGGTCATAGGTCTCGCTGACAAACACGCCCAGTGAGACAAAAAATTGACGACATAAATGAGCATCACAATACGCTCTAATTCAAATCACACCAACAGACCGAAACAATCTCATCATCAGACTGTTGATTTCATGAATTAATGAGGAAATGAGGTAAAAACTGTGTTTGCTGAGCTCTTCAGTCTGTCCGTCGTCAGTCCCCGAGATCATCTGCACATCAGTCAGGCCAGGTTTTAAATTTCAACAAATTTTGCAAAAAATTCCAAATCAGTGTTTTTACTTTTAGTTTCAGTTGTTGGGTGTAAAAGACCGATTTGTATTATTGTAAAGCTAAATTTGTGGCATCTTTAAATAAAATAAAAATGTAAATAAATTAAAAGGGTTGTATGGATCTGGATACCTGTGTATTTATGTTGTATGTTTATCTTGATATTAACATTTTTAAAACATTAATAATATATTACTGAGGAAAAAAACCCAAAAGAAATCAAGCAGTTCGAATACTTTAAGGAGTGATAGTGTAAATGCTGCACCTTTTACTCACAGCTGTGCACATACAATATTAAAATGACACTGATAAAACCATTCCTCACAGATGAAATTATGTTGTGTATTTATCGTCTGTATTTCTTACTCATAGGTTGTCACAGTGTGACATTAAAGAGGCTGGCTGCTATGATCTGGGCTCAGCTCTGCGGATAAACCCTCCTTTTCTCAGTGTGTTGGATCTAAGCATCAATTGGATTGGAGACGAGGGGGCCAATGAGATATTTAACAATTTTGACATATCGTATCTAAAAAAGTTGGAGTAAGTATGGCTTAATCTACAGAAAGTCCTTTTTCCAGTAACATACCAAAGCATATAAAAGTTGGGTTCATAGATAGACACGTTTGATTTATGGGATAAATGTAGGCTTTAAGTGTGGTTAGTCTTGATTTAGTGAGTTGATCACAAATATCACATTAACTCGAGGGAAATTTAAGCCATTTTTATACACAGTCCCCTCTTTTTTGTGTGTCTTTTTTTGTGCGCCAAAGCGGATCGTTTACGCCTAGTCAGCCCCCATAGACTACCATGTTAAAAAGAACCGCTTTAAAGTAGACACAACCATGTTTACAACCTTCTAACAAAAATATATTTTGGCTTCTGTGGACAGTTGGTGTTTGGAGGAATTTATGCCGCTAAGGTTTAGTGGCTACTTTGACAGATGTAACTGTAGCTACTAACTGCAGTCACTGAACTGGATTTCTCCAGTGTTTTGGTGCCTTTTATGAGCTTTTAATACAATTATCTGACAAATAATATGGCTGGAACTAGTGTATATATTGTGCTCATACGGTTTATTATTCCACTTTGTTAACAAAGCTTTAGCCGCTAACTTAGCTTGTCACCCTCTCCAAATATGGTCACTTCCAAAAATATCATGGTACCATAATGTAGCTAATGAGGCTGCCATTTCTGCTTCCATCTTTTATTTACAGCCAATAATTAAAGCAAAAACTCTGCATGTTTAGCCCATATTTATGACTGTGACTTCATTATACTTTGCAAGAAAGCCAATTTAAAAAAGAAAGATGTCTGTCACCACAGATGTATGGATAACTGCTGCTTATCAACATAAATTGATAGATTTCACTCATATGGTCTTTCGTGTCTTTGGCAGGTTGTACTGCTGCGGCCTCACCGTGCTGAGCTGTGAAAGTATTGGGGAAGCTCTGAAGAGTGAAACGAGCACTCTGTTAGAACTCAATTTGAGCAACAACAGCTTGAAAGATGCTGGGTTTAAAATCATCTGCGAAGGCATGTATGCGTGGTGTAGTCTCCAAAAACTCAAGTAAGCATGACCTGATTACACACTGACTGAAACAAAGAGACGTTAAAAATCCTGGCAAAGATTTATTTTTAATCCATTTATTATCGATGAATATTTGGCCTAACACATTATTCATGTTTGTGGTATTTCTCCTCAGTGTTTCACGATGTGGAATCACTGGTGCGGGTTGTCGCTACCTGGCAAAGGTCCTCTGTTCAATCTCGCAGCTCACCGATGGCTGGATGGGAGTTGGCGAGTGGCAGGCGGTGGAGCTGATAGACCTGGACCTCAGCATGAACCACATCGGAGACAAAGGAGTGAAAGAAATTTCACCCGGCCTAATGAATCCTTTGAGCCACCTGAAAACTCTGAAGTGAATCTTTTTTTCTTTTTTTTTAAACCAGACTCCATAATGACAGCGTGGGCTCAGTTTGATTGAAAGAAAAGCTTGCTGTAACATAGCTTTTTGCTTCCTTTCAGCCTGAGTTACTGCAGTTTGACTGACAGCTGCTGTGCAGAGCTCGCCTCTGGACTGATGTCAAAGGCGAACATTCTCAGCGAGCTCGACCTGTCTCACAACAACCTTCAAGATAAGGGAGTGAAGAAACTCTACATCGGACTCCAAAGCCCGCAGTGCAAACTTGAGAAACTGTCGTAAGTTATTAAACTTTTATACTATGTTTAAAAAAACAACAACAAAAAAACCTCTTTCTAATAAAGTTAAACGAGTCAACACATGGGCTGTATCTGCAGTGGCACATTAGATCAGTGCTTCTCAAACTTTTCACAATGAGTACCACCTCATAAAGTATATGGCTGTTGAAGTGCCACCCTTATGACGGACATTAAAGTACAGTAGTATAGGCCTATTTAACACCACATACAGTTTACACGAGACAGTTTTATTTCTTATGAATGCTATTTATTTAACTGTCATAAACAGGATGTGACAAGTGATGATAATAACAACTGTACTGCAATAAAACATTCACAGCAGGTGGGATATCCGGTCTTTAAATAATGACCTGATGAATCCTGCTTCCAGGTCCAAACTACTCTGCATTTATTAAGGCTGTTGTGTTTTTAACATGTTTTAATGCTTTGTATCTTGTTCTATTTAATCTCAACAAGCCCCTAAAAACAGTCAGTGATCACTGTCGGCCTCTCTCAGTTTTTATTACCACTCTTCATTTTAAAGCTCAGTTTTTAAACCCTTACGATGTAACTACAACCCTTACGATTATCTCAGTTGTTCTCCTGACTCAAGTTTGGTTCGTTTACAGCATCCTGTGATTGCATTTGTCCCTAACCATCGAGAACCCTCACGTTAACTTTTATCGAGTGGAAAAAAGTTAGCGTTCATCCTCCAGCTTCACTGTGTTTATATTGTGCTAACCATAGCTGTGTAGCTAGCCACAACGCAGCACATCATTATATACCCGACTAGCCCGACTTCAGTAACCCTACAAACGTCACTGCTGTTTAGTTTTCTGTCTTCATTTATGTTGGAAGTGGTAGCAGAGCTGTACGTTTGAATTTTTGCTGAGGCGGTTAAGCTGCCGGAGTTTTGGCTTCACGACCCTACAAGGAGCTTCGGCATCCAGGCGATAGTTTCCGACTCACCCACGACATCTCCAGCGCCCCCACCGATTCTCCCGGGGGCCTCCGACACATCGATGGTGGCTGGGATTGCGGCACGGCAGCACTGCCGAAAAGGGCTGTGTTTTTTACCGTCAGTGTGACAACTCAGTGCCGCATTTGCAGTTTTAAGGCCCAGGGAAATGAGCCCACCAGCACTCTCTAGTGGCCGTGACGCTGGCGATAAGGAAAGGCTGCTCTTCATAGAGGACTCACGCTCAGGGAGACGTTTTCTGGCTGACCCCAGCTCCCAGAAGAGCCTCGGGAACTCTTGTGTTGTCTTTGCATAGCTCCACAATCGTATATTATTTAATCTTTAAAAAAAAAAGGAGTTTTCCCGCATACCGCCAGAGAGAGCCCAAGTACCATGAGTGGTACGCATCCCACAGTTTGAGAAAGACTGGCTTAGAACCAGTGAAGTAAAATTCAGGTTCTCAGTTTATGTGAAAAGACTACAAAATTAAAATTTACAAATATATGTTAAAAAATCCTCACAAATATGTTACAAAAATAAAATAAAAAAACACAAACATTTATGATGGAAAAAATAGTTGAACAGTTTTTCGTTGTCACACTTCAGGATAAAGTTGGAAAGAATTCACATCCGCACCGGCCCTCAAGGCCTGGAGTTCCCCCACCCCTGCAATAAGTGAATCTTTTACCCATTTAACCATGTAAAGCAGGGGTGGGGAACTCCAGGCCTCGAGGGCCGGTGTCCTGCAGGTTTTAGATGTGTCCAACACAGCTGATTTAAATGGCTAAATTACCTCCTCAACCTGTCTTGAAGTTCTCCGGAGACCTGGGAATCATTTGAGTCAGGTGTGTTGACCCAAGGTGATATCTAAAACCTGCAGGACACCGGCCCTTGAGGCCTGGAGTTCCCCACCCCTGGTGTAAAGTGAAGCAATTTTGTTCCTCGACTAATGAAAGTTTCCCTCTTGAAATTTTGCATAGTTCTTTTATAAATTTGTACTTTTTTTCCTCAAATGATTTTTTTCGTCTCTTTGTGGCTTTAACCTTCAGATGATATTAGCCCACTCCACTCTCCACAAATGGGCGAGACCTTAAATACTTCCACACATATGTGTTGCTAAGTTAGTGTTTTTGTAGCACAGTCGACTGTGAGCCCAGTAATGCACCCAGATGTTCAGATCTGTATTTATAACAAAACATGGTGACAAGTTGAAATATAAGTCAAATAGAATTTGCAGCTTCTCTTAATTCAAAAGACGTGCACTGGAGAGACTGTGTGTCACCGTCTCCATGAGATAAAGAGTAACAAATTTTTTTGATTTGCCCTTGAATTTATGCAGTTATTGCTCAAATGACAGAAGTGATAACAAACATGTCCTGTTAATGTTTGAACACAAAATACTTGCCCAAGTTATTTGTTAATAACCAAATGATGCACCTCGAGCTCGGGTAAATGCATGTGCATGTTTGTTTGCAGACCCACACTGTCGGGGTAGACTGAGCTGTTCTGTATTTCTGTTTCTGTTCAGACTGAGGACCTGTGGCCTGACCTCGAGGAGTGTTCAGTTCCTGACCTCAGCCCTGAAGTTAAACCCATTCTTTCTGACAGAGCTGCATCTGGTGGGCAACAGGCTCGAGAACTCTGAAATCAGAGCACTCGTGGAGCTAACGAAGAACCACAAATACACACTCAGGACAATAGAGTGAGTACCAAAGATGTGAAAAATGCTCAGATAAGAGCAGGTGGGTTTCTTCTTTTGCGTTGTTGGATGGTCATTCACAACCAAGAAAAACGGATAATATTTAAGTATCGTAACACTGATAGTTTCTACTTTTATTTAGTTGTAAAACGTGAGACCTCAGATGGTACTGTGCAAAAGAAAAATTGTGAGATTTTTAAAACCTGGGCACTATTGTTCCATCTCTTTGGGTCTGTTATTAAAAAAACACAGAAATGTTTGTTTTCATTCAACGTTGAGCAAGAATGCTGTAATTTAACCAACAGCCCTGAAACAGTGGGAGTGTAATGGCTTAAAGCAACGCTCCACATTAAAGTTGTTTATTTTCCCCACTGATGGGCTCCAATTATAAGTCTCTCTCTGAGGTATCACATGATTGCATTAAAGCAGTGTAAACATTAGGTAGTACTCACATTCACGGCTTCAACACTGATTTTCTTGAATATGGTGGATTACACTGAGCACATGCGACAGATCCCAGAGTCTTTCACATCTGTCAGGTGTTCAGGGTGAATCTGAATCTGTGAAGAGAACAGGGCACCAGCGGTTTCTGCTTCCCGGCTGGACTGACTGATGTCCCTGAAGTTTAACTCACTTTGGGTTACATTGTGATGACTAAATGTTTCCTGTTAATCATCACCCCCAAAATAGGAAAATAAGACCCAGAACTGTCCTTCAGTATATTTCTATCCTTATCTTTTCACTATTCATAACAAATTTCACTCCCTTTATTTCAAGCATTCATGTGCCTTTTTTTGTTATCTTATCTTCCAGTGTCTCAGTGGACTGAAGAAGAAGTGAGACAAATGGCTCTGTCTCCTTATTTGCGCAGAAACTGGATGGCTACCACATAATTCTGTTCAGTTTGAGTTTCTGACTTAGAAATAGTGTAAAAATACCAAATGTGCTTTAAAAGACTAAATGTTTAATTTTCCATTATTACCTCTTTGTATATAATGTTTTTTTAACCAAGTACTTTATTTCTGGGCCATAGAAGAATTGCCCCACGTCTTGGTTACGGTGGCCATATTCCAACAAATGAAACGTTGCTAATGCCGAGAGGCATGTGGTATGTGAAGGACAAAGTTATTTCACGTGAATGTGACATTTGTAGCCAAGTAAAAACAATAAGTGTAAAAACAAGCTAACATTTTTATATACGATATTGTTCATAATTTACTACATTCTCGTTTTTTTTTACTGTAATATTGAAATTGTTGAACTGTTTGTTCTGTCAGCTGGTGCAAACAGCGTTACAAGGTACTTCACATAAGTTATAAACACTGACACATTACAAAATGTGGTAAAATGAGAGAAATGGCTTAAATTAAAGCTAAACAGAGTGATAATAAAACACTCGGGTGACATTAAAAGTTGTCACAAAACACTCTGAGAATCATCTTCCATCGCTTTAATCAGTTAGTTATTTATGAGAGTTTCTATCATATTCTGCCCAAACTGTAGCTGGTCACTTTTAATTTTCCACCTTGGGTGTAATATGTTTACCTGCAGGAGAGCCATGGGACAGCTTTCACTGCCTTTTTTCACAGCTGTTCAAAAACAGAGATTTTGGATGCCTATTAATGTGGAGCATTTTCTCAACATTTGGCACGGTGTCCTGGTCACCCAGTCACACTCACTGTTTACATATCCATGCAGTTTTATTTGTGTGATTCCTCTTGAATGTGATGCATCAGCAGAACTGACCTCATCTCTGTAAACCGCACACAATAAATGCCTCTATTTTTGAACCAAGCAGTGCCGGTTCATTTGTTCTGTTGCAGCAGAGCGCCATCTAGCGGCTCATTGTTTCACAGAGTGACGCGTGTGACGCCACCTGACATAGCAGCTCTGTGTTTGTGTCGGTGTCGGTGCATCACACCGGGCAGCATCTCCAGTTTCACCGCAGTCCAGTGAGCGCGCCCCGCGGCTGAAGGTAGGGTAGGCTTTGGGATGTTTTTCAGGGTGTTTTCCAGCGCAAAAAGCTGCGCTCTTTTCCTGCACCCTTCACTAATCCTCCGCAGATAGATGGGGATTTCATGTGTGTTCTGTGTGTGATGGTTGTTATGTAATTGCATCACACTGACAGTGAGGCTTGAATGTTGTTTGGCTTCCATGTCACGGTAATTTGATAAAGGAGAGAGGTACCAAAAAGTACAGAGGGGCGTGGGGGAGCTGGGTAGGCCCGGATGGCGCAGTTTCAGCGCACAGACATTGCTCCCCAACGGCCACACCATCATCTTCATCAGCAACATCGCGCTGCCACAGCTAAATAGTGCTGTGTAATAACTGTGTGACTCCTGGGACATGCGGGCGTCTGTAGTGCAGGTCTGCAGCGTCATGACCACCGCCTGGTCGTTGCGGCAGTGTCGCACAGAAATGTCCTGCAATGACACGTTTTTACGTCCGATCTGATGAGCTGGATGAGATTTGTAAGATTGGGGGGCTTCATTTTGAAGTGCACGAGTCTTGAGTGTATGGGCTGCTGTGCTCTGATGTTAGCTCAGTTTACTGTGTATTTTGGCAAATACCAACATTTTCCTTTCATAGCCTGTTAAACGAACAGAACAGTAAATGCAGTATTTACCCCCTTACCCCTCCCAGACTCATATATATTTAAATAACCACCGGTTTATGCAGTAAAATAAAAGTTTAGGTTCATTCCAACATTTTTTTTTTTGGTAGTTCATTTGTTGTCTATTTGACTATAATAACTTTGGTTTAGTCTGCAAGCTTCTAATCTGCTGAATTGCCCATGCGCAAGACACTTCCTTAGCTTGTGAGGGAGTAGTGCAGGTGTTGCTAATCAGACTTACTGTTAGCTAACTAAATTTTGTTTAGCCTCAGAAAACAAAAGGTAAGGTGATGGTTGGAGCTAGTGTATTATTTTGTTTTATGTATATATTTCTAATTGTTAATTTGAATATGTCTTTAAATTTTAATGTAAACTTTCAAAATACCAGCGGGAATCCCGTTAGCTTATTGTTAGCTCGTAGGGCGGGAAATTTTGTCATAATACAAGCAAACTAATATGAGCTTTACTTTTAGCCGGCTTGTTATTATTAAATTAACTTATTTTATTATGTAACTAACTCGTGCATTCTATATTTATATGCCAGGCTGATCCTTGGTGTGAAATAGTACAAATGTGTTTTGTTTTTTTAATATAAAACCTAATGTGCTATGCTGTAAATAAACTAGGGTTTTGATACATAAATAAAGGCTTGGAAAAAAAAATGTTTTCAAGTTTAACAGGTACACTAAATTAATTATTTAGTGTCCCATATTTATTAAGTACAGTGTAAAAAGTATATAAAATCCCTCTTAGCCATTTAGTGGGGCGCACCAGTATTTTATAGGCCACCATTAAATGTGATATTAATGTTAGATCCGTTGTTATTATGCATTAATATCACACTAATATTTAATATTCAAGAACTGTAACAGCCCTAATATTAGTTTAAACCACTTGGTACGAAAAAGGGACCCAATTGATAAGGTCACGTGACAGGAGAAAATGTAAATGAATTGAGAATATTGCCAAAAAAGTATAATTGTTGAAAAGAAATCTGAACTGAAAAAAATACCCGACAATTTGTACTTTAACAGTTCACTTAAACTGCAATTTGGTTTTTACCAGAATTAATTCATTAAATAGTTAATGTGCCTTGTTTTAGTGGATGTTTTGTTAAAAATAGTGCCAGGTTATATTTTCTTCTTGCTACACAGAAGAAATGGGGAGGAAAAGAATGACAAACACACAAATAGGTTAGAGAGTCTAGTCTATTTTAAAAATAAAGGACTGTGCACATTTCCACTGTTGGTGATTTTGGGGGTTTTCTCTGTATTACTGTAGGGCCTTTTCCTCACAATATGAAGCGCCTTGAGGCTACTTTTGTTGTTTTGTTGCTATATAAATAAAACTGAATTGAAATTGAATTGACCCAAATGCTTCACTTTTGAAATGCTCCTAGTGTGCAAAGAATGGTGTATATTTGAAGTTAGACTACAGTACAGTATTTGTGGTCATAGGAGAGCAGGTGAGGTGCATCTTCTTAGTTAAATTAATAAGGAATAATTATGAGAGCATTTCCTGGACATGCCTTCATAGCACCAGAGTAAGGACAGATTAAAGCAGAAAGGCTTGTCGGAGGGGGGTAAACCTACATTTGAGAAGCAGTTCTTGTTTATATACAATAAAATCCACAAGTATTTGAACAGTGGCACAGTTTTATAATTTGCCCTACATACATCAACGCAGTGCACTGATCTGGCTTTTTCCAGTTCCGATACAGATACCCACAGCCAAGGTATCTGCTTAATCCAATACCTGTTTTGCATTAATAATCTGTAATCCTCCCTGTGAGGACTCATTTGTTTATATGTGAGATAAAATCAGGCTTGATATAAACAGCTTCCATAACTCTGTAAATTAAAAGTAAAAAGTTAATGGATCCAAGCATATACATTTGTTGAATTTATTAGCGAAGTAATAAATGATAACAAGCTCGGTATGAACACCATCAAATATAAATAATGTGTTGGAGTTATTCATCCAACTTATTTGCATTAGACTTATTTTGGTTACAGTGAGTCATTAGGCTGCTGCAGGATGATATCAGGTACAGTCACATTGGTATCTCCTTTTTTCTCCTCACACACACATTATGTGTGAAGTAGGGCTGTTTGATATAGCGATATATATCAGATGATGATATGAAAACGTCAATCGTTGCATATTACGCTTTCGTTTGTTTCTTGGTGTTGCAAAATAAACTGTTTATGGCAATATTTTTTCATTGTTTTGATGGTCACTGTAGAATTTCTTAAAGTTCTCTCTTTTTCCTATATTTAATATAACCACGCTACGGACGGAGAAGCGACTGTTTTTATGCGTTGACGTTAGCAACAACGACCGTAAAACTATTGCGTGGCTCCGTCGTCCGCTTGTTTATTTTCTACATAAACCTTTCACAATAAAGCTGAAGATCCTGTTGAGATTTTTTCAAAATAAACTGAATCACATGAAGGAGTACGCAGAGTGTTTACGGATGAGAAGCAAAAAAGAGCCGTCAGGTGCTAAAAAATAAACCTTAGAATCAAACGTCAGAACAGGCTTTTCCCCGCAGCACGCCGTGTAATAAATAGTCACAAAGAAAATGTCTAAAAATGTAGTTTCATGCATCGGTCTAAACACTTGACTCCAGGTACACGACCAGCTAAAAAAAAAAAACTTCACGCAAATCGAGCTGCCCGAGATTCACAGAATTTACAGAAAATGTAAAATTTTTGTGATATACACTGTTGTCGGGACGATAAATGTCTTATATTGGGATATGAGATTTTGGTCATATCGCACAGCCCTTGTGTGAAGCTGTCCAAAGAGCTGAAGTGAAAGATTATTTAATCAAGCTGAGGACAACACATACAAAGCCATTTGGATCCAAATATCAGTTCAGGGTATATCAAGCAATCAAGATGTGACTGAAGTGGAGATTTTGAACTTTGATTCAAGCGGTTTAATGCAGCCATGTTTAGGTTGTGTGGACAATTCAGTATATGTCTGACTCAGAAAATAAACCTATCAGAGAGAAGGGACTTTAGGAGTGGCCATATCAATTGTCAACAATGTTGATTGGCCAATTTCATTTTAATGGGATCTGTCACCTCCTTTATGAGGCTCAAATATGTTTTAAAGCTCTGCTGATAAATTCATTTTTCTGACACCTGGCTTAAATGAGAGACAATTTTCAGGCTGTTTAATTTTTCAGATTTTAATTTCAGTTAAGTGTTTGGCTTCCAGAGTTAAAACAAAGAAATCAAGATAAAAATTATAATTGTGTCTTTGCATTACTTTTGCTGCTCCCTTTATGGAGATGACCCAAGTCTGTATCCGTTTCTTGTCTTGTTGTCAGAGTGAGCAGCGATGGGGAAGGAGAAACTCCACATCAACATTGTGGTAATTGGACATGTTGACTCAGGCAAGTCCACCACCACCGGCCACCTGATCTATAAGTGTGGTGGCATTGACAAGAGGACAATTGAAAAGTTTGAGAAGGAAGCTGCAGAGGTATGACTCATGTTGTTCTTACTTAAAAAAAAGATCATTTTGAAAATTTTCTGCTATTTATCTCCTGTTTCTGGTCTACTTGTCTCCTACTCTGGATAATATTCTCATCTTTTTATTACAAGTCCACAAAAAATATTCGGTCATCAGTCTTATTGATTTACCTTTTACACCTTGTAGATGGGAAAGGGTTCCTTCAAATATGCCTGGGTGCTGGACAAGCTGAAAGCTGAGCGTGAACGTGGCATCACCATCGACATTTCTCTTTGGAAGTTCGAGACCAGCAAGTACTACGTCACCATCATTGATGCTCCAGGGCACAGGGACTTTATCAAGAACATGATCACTGGGACCTCACAGGTACAGTTCAGTGGACTTCTTAAGTGCTCGTGTTAAATGCCATTTATAAGTTTTTCCTCTGCAGATCTTTCAGTGAGAAAAATTCCAACATCTTTGATCTCAGCTGGTGATGACATTCCTTGTTCTTGAGCTCACAGAGAGATCATAGTTTAGTTTAGTTTCACTTTATTTAAGACACACACGGGTCCATAGCAAATAAAATAGATGCAAAAAAAAAAACCAGTAGAAAATTTTAAACAAATTCCACAGTGTCACACAATTAAAAAGAAAGTAAAACAACAACTGTTCCATAACTTTGAATAACACCTAACTGAGTTTAGTGCA